CCAAATTCACTTGACCATAATCTTGCCCACATCTCTCCAGCTTAAGCCCAGGTGAGCACGAAAGACTATCGAGGGCAACGAAGGTGAGTCCACTCACCCTGATGAAAAGGGGTCTGAAGCTCCTGAGAAAGGCAGAGAGCCTTTATGTGGATGCCCATCTGTCTTTGGGGAAACTCACAAGCAATCCCTCTTCTGGAACCTGGTTGCTAATCAAAGTCCAGCAGACTGGCCTGCAGCTTGACAAATTCACCCTCTGGCCTCTTGGGAAAAACAGCACAACATGTCTCTTGGTCCACGGGACCTCTAGCTTCACCCCACGTTTAAAAAGATCATCAACAATGGCTCACTCCAACAGCTGGAACTCCAGAGTTATAAGAGGGACAAAAATAAAGAAACCATTGCCCTTATTTTCACAGCTTCGCTTTACAAAGGGCCTTCAGGAAAAACACACACAGTAAAAATAACGTCAAGACGTCAACACCACGAGGCATGCAGGGCGAATGCCTTTAGCCCCTTATTATGGACAGTGAAACTGAGGTCAAGAAAACCAAGCTTACGTGCTCCAGGCCTCAGAGTAAGCCAGAGCGGCAGAGCTAGCATTCAACACTTGTGTAACCAAGCTCTGGCTGTTCCCACATCAGCGACCTCTCAATGGATTTTTTAGAGTGAATTTTCTCCTAAATCAAGAGTGCAATTGTCTAGGGTACCTCTTCCTAAGAGAACTGAGGAACTGCAAGCAACATCCCAAGGGCAGTGTTAATTTGTGACTCCGAATCTCATCAGGATTGCCTTAATTGTTTAACCGCAAGACTTCATAGATCTCTAGCACCCAGGGTCTACAAGCAGTACAGCAGGTCCTGTCATTCTCAATTGACTGATAAGGAAACTGAGGCATAATGGGATAAAGAAAGAAGAGCTGGAGTCCAAGCCCAGGGTTCCCTTCCAAGTCAGGCTCTTTTCCCATCACCACTAGAGGCTCATCCCAATCTAAAGTGTGAGCAACAAAATGGATGGCTGCTCCCTTTGCCTTCCCAGGTTCCCCAAGGCCTCATGCCTTCCCTGTGGCAGGCCTGCCAATAAACCATTTCATCAGAGAACAAACTTGTCGGTTAAAATGGGAAGCCAGCATTGACTGGATTGTTCTGCCGATTTTATTTACAAATAGATGCCAACTCCGTCTGGATTAAAGGAGCAGCCTCTTCCTCTATCAGTCACAATCACCCAAGTGACACAAGAAAAACAGAAGACTTCAGAGGAAGCTGGAGCCGTCTTCTAGTGCGAGGCACAATCAGAGGGTGGGAAGAGGAAGGCTCATCCCATGCTCTCTTGCACATCCAATGACATGCTCATCCTGACACAGTCACGCCCACCTGTCTTCTCCAAGAGGCCGCCATCTTGCGCCCTTGGCTCCCCAGGACCCACAGTAGCCTCATGAGTTGAGGTAAGAACTCTCCCCAGCCCAGATCCTCCGAGGGCTATGTCAGGTGCCCCTTGGAGGCACTAAGCTCAAGGGTGGTGATGGACCATTGAGTAGGAAAATCCTCCGCACTTTCAGTTCTGGCTGCAGCAGAGGAAGCTGTCAGGCTAAGCAGTCATGGACGAGCCACACTCTCCACTGCAGATGAGTGAGCTACCTCATCTTTCCCCTCCCAAACTTCCCAACTGCCACTGGGGCACAGCCATGCCCCAACCATTCAGCTCCACAACTGTGATGTCATCCGTGCTCCTCACTGCGCCTCCAGCCAGGGATGCTGCCATTTCTCCCCACATGTCTTTCCCAGCCAACCCTGTCTCTGCACTCCTGCATGCCGCTCAGATGATTGTAATCACCTCCTAGGGAATCTTTCTGCCTCCAGTCTCTGCTCTGTCCAATCCACCAATCATACAACTGCTCACACGATTTTCCTCAAGCATGGGTATGACCGTGTTAGTCTCATAGTTAATACATTTCAGTAGTTCCCCAAGAGCAAAGAGCATTTCATCGTATAGTGGCCTTTTTTAATGTCTACATTTAGAGTGGTCTGTACTACATATGATTGTTATTATGGGAGTTTAAGTGTGCAAGATTATAATTTAGAAATAAGCAGTTATACACACACACACACACACACACACACACACACACACATATATCGCCATACGGGGCTGCATGCTCAAAAACATTTCCTGATGAGCAGCACGATTCTAAAAGCTTAACGAGCCCTGCTCTGGGGATCAGCAGGTTGTTACCTATGGCATCCAGAAGCCTCAGAGCCCACACCACCAAACCCGCTAAGCATGGCTCACGTCAAAGGCAGGTGGTTCTTGCCACGGACCCAGCTCTGGAGTAATCTGGAGGTCTGACTGTCTCAGAAGAAGCAAGTTTGGCCGCTCGCTGCCTTATTTCTTAGAGGTGAGGTACTGCCGGGGAAAGGGCCTAGAGTGGGGATCAGAGGGCCCAGATGTCAGCCCTGGCTCTGGGACCCCACAAAGTCACTTCCTGTCTCTGGGGCTCAGTTTCCTCATCAGGGAAATGGAGACACACAGCAGGTTCCACCTGCTTTTCAAGAAGCTGTGGATGGTAGGAACGTGCTTTGAAAGTCTTTGAGTGGCTGGTGGTCCTTGAGGCCACAACTCCTGCCATACAGCCTCCAGCTCATCGGTGGCACTCCTCCACTTCCATGAGGAAGCCAGGCCCAAAGCAGGTCAGTGACTGGCCAGGCTTGCCCAGGTAGTCACGAAACTGAGCTGGCTGGTGAACCATGGGGGTCTGACCCCTGCCCAGCCTCGGCACCGCACGGCGAGCCAGAAAGAGAAGCACCCATGCCTGCTGCCAGGGTCACGTTGCTCCCTTTCCATGAAAACAGACTGTTCTTGACACCACCCAGCACCATGCTACCCTTGCTTTCTTTCCTCTTTATCCCGCTCAGCCCAACACGTGGGCTGGGCGCTGCCAGTGTAAATGCAGAGAAGAGCGCCTCCCAAAGATAAGTACACACATGACTGTGATTGGAGGGAGAGGGAGGAAGGAGCAGGAGAGAGACCCAGGCCAAGGGCAGAGAAATCCCAGCAGGTAGAGGCCAGGGGAGTCAAGGAAGCCCTGAGCGAGGGGAGGGGCTGCAAAAGAAGAGAATGCAGACGGGGCAGGGGAGCCCACTGCAATGCCAAGGGACGGCCTGAACCACAGAATGGAGCCCAGAGCAGGCAGGACAAAAGTGGGGACAGAGAGCTGGACTACGCAGCCTCTAAAGGGGAGGCAGAAGGCTGGCCCAAGAAGCGGAACAGTGAGAGTTAGAGGCCACTGTAGTTAGGGAGAAGGAAATCCTCATCTCCTGAAGGCTGGGTGCAAGGTCTGCCTGCTTCTGACCCTCTCTGCCCCGGGACAGCTTCTAAAACACTTCCCAACGGAGCAGGGACTGGTCTCCTCAGTGCCCTCTACCCAAGAAACCCTCAGGACCCTCCCACACCCTAAGAAGAAATGACCGCATTATTCAGCCCACTTTCACAGAACGACACAGTCTGTGGCTTGGTCACCCCATCAAACCTCAACATCCCAAGTGAGTGGTCACCCAGCCAAGCTAGAAGGCCTCCAGGGCCCTCACCAGCCTGTGCATCCCACACCACACAGTTCCCAACGTCAGGACGTTCTCCTCAACAGACCCCAAGCAGCTGGCCCCTCCATGCTACCACATCCCCCAGGTCTGACCCCTCCTCCTCACAAGAGCCCTTCAGACATTTGAGGACCAGATAGCTCCCACAGCCAAGGGTCCCCAGCTCCAACAAGCAATGAGGAGGGTACAGTTCTGAGCACCCTTTTTCACGCCGCACACAGTCCTGCTTCTCAAAGCGGGCTTGGTTGGAGAGGAGAGGCCCATCCTGTCCAAGTCTCCCAATGTATGTCACAACCTGAGCACCTGAGAGTCAGGAAACACTTTGGGGATTCATCACTCCAACCTCTCCACTTTTCAGATATGAAAACTGAGATTTAGTGGGCAGCACAGACATACCCACGATCCCCTAGAGGGGCGCAGAGTTAGGGTCAGGACTCTGATCTCTGGGGGTTTGTTAGGGAACCACAGAAGAGATCAGAGCAATTTAGGGAACCAGATCTCAAACCTCTTCTTGGGACCATTCCATTCCCTAATGAGGCGTCTGCTGCCGACACCAGGAGAACATCACGCTGGTGGTGTGAAGACTTGTCTCTACTTATCAAAGCAGATTCAACAACTCAATCCAAGCCACGAGGCCTGGGCCTCCTTCAGCCCTCCTCTGGGGCTCTATGGTGTGAGTCACCTTGGCCGTGAAGGCTGAGCAGCCACGGAGCCTGGGCTTGGCAAGGGACGGGGTGTGGCAGCTGTCTGGGTCCAGCCAAGCAAGTGTAAAGAGCTTCCTCCCCACCCTGCCCCAGCTGGCAGGAGTCTGAGGGCCTTGCAGCTCTGGAAGCTTGTCTGTGAAGACCCAGAGGAGTCTCTCTCTGAACGGGCAGGGACAAGCCTGCCTCCTACGACCAAAATAAGTCACTTGGTTCTTACCAGCTGGTGGAGGTGAGTAGTTTGAGGGAAATGTTAGGGGCATTCTTCCTCAAGTGGGCAGCTGTTAGCATGTAACCAGGCTTCATGTTCATGAAGAGGTCCTCTCAAATGAGAGGAAGGATGGAAAATGGGGCACATTTCAAGGCTGTGATATATGGAGGATGTCACCTACTTGGCTTTCAGGGGCCACAAATCCATCAGCTCCCACAACGAAGCCATAATGATTGGTGGCCAGACACGGGCATCTGGCGTTCAGAGGCCTTAAAAGATGACATCACCATTAAGCCCAGCTCAGCTGACATTCAACCAGAAATGTAGGCTTGATTTTTAAAGTCCCTATTTTTAGTATTTCTGAAGTCCTAGGGCTTTATTTACCCGGCAGAACTCTAGCTAACGTCTCTTCCACTTACAAGAAAAAGCAAAAACCACAGCCCCCACCCCAAGCCCAGCTCTTCATCTGCTCTGCCCCAGGGGCTGGGCATCATTTACCTGAATACCATCCAGCAGCTTGCTCAGGCACCAGTAGCTGTCAGCTTCGATGTTCCGCAGCACCTCTGCCGGCACGCAGGAAACATCCACGTTTTCCACTTCTTCTTCTGTGTGGGAGAGAACATGGAAAAGAAAAACCATAATGAACAAAAGGCAAGGAATTGCTGGGTGGGGAAACTGAAGCCAAACAACACAAGTGACCGAAGAACACTGGCAGGGACTTTGGTCAGAAAGTTCCCCAGGTGACATTCCTCTTAACTCTCTCCAAATGAATAAGGTATTCCCCAACCCCATCACTTCATGGTTCTCCATTTTAATAACTAATTAACTGCAGATAACAAATATTCCAAACCTTCTCCGATTAACTAGCATAATTAATCCACAGTCAGTGATGCCTTCCCAGGCATTTCAGAATTAAACAAAACATCATTAGTAATGAAGATGCCTATTTGGGGATATTTATTCCTGCTGGAGAGATGCAAACTCTGCTACTGAAGGGAAAAAGCTCCATTTCAGGCAGACAGAACACAGACAGCCAGGCTGAACGGATTCAGTTAGTCCTCCACGCCGCCCTCTGCTGACATCTCCGTCCAACAGCCTCGGCAGTGGGGCCATGACAGAAGTTCTAACCAGCCTGGGCACCCCGTAACTGAAAGATGGCATGTCTGCCAGCTAGCCTAGCTAGGGCTGGAGAAAGAGGGCCAGGCTGACCACCTTAACAACTCGCAAACACCATCTAAGCAATCTGCACCAAGGAGGAGAGTACACCCACTGAGGAAATCTGTGATCTTCGAAGCCTGACAAAAGCATTCTGCCAAGACCTCTACCAGAAACAGGCTCGTCTTCCAGTGAGGGTCCTTTCCCAACAGCACAGCCTACTCATGGCTCGGCCCGTACTCACACAAGAGCAAAGGGAAGGGGCTGACCGGGTGCCTCAGGATGAGTCCCCATCTGTCCAGGGAGGACAATTGGCCAGACCTGATTCCCAGGTGGCTGGGAAGGAAGAGGGCACTGTGTAAAACAGAGAGCGCCAGAAATGGAAAGGTGAGTTCTTACTGTTGTTAGGCTATCGATCTGAAGTCACGCAAGCTGAGTTCAAATCCTGGCCCTTTTGCTCACAACTTCTCATGAGACTGGACTCAACGATCCCCACGGTCCCTTGTAGCTCTGCGGCCACAGTGGCCCCACAGGCCCAGAGGAAGGCTGAAGCAGCTAAATACATTGCCTGGGAGGATCAGGGAAAGGCAGGGACAGGAAGGTAGAGAAGGGTTACTCTTGGCACTGGGGGGAGGAACACCTCTGCTACAGAGAACCAAAAAGAGACAGCCAACCTAAGTAGGGAGAAGAGAGTGTACAACCCAAGTCTGTATTGTTTCCTTCTAGAAACATGCTAAATTTAATAACAAAATGCACTTAGAGACTTTGAGAAGTTGAAACCTAATTCAAATGTCTACATCTAAATGCAAACAACTATCAAAATCGACTTTTCTGGGGCCGCTGTCATTCCACATGCAAAACGTGCGAATACTTAGAAATGACCAAACAGTAATGCGACCGCTAAGGAGACTGTTTACTAAACCACTACTGTGAGGGACGGGCACATCTTACAGTACTGCTCACTGCCAGCACTGCACACAGTGGTCTCCCAGGAAACAAACTGAACACACTGTGTTGCACGGTGGCACTAACGGTGTCATGAAAATGCATTGAGAAAAACGGTTGACAACGCAAAACCGAATACGGAAAAGTTCAACCCAGAAAATCTTTGGAAAATTCTACATCAGAGAAAGTTGGGTCAGGAAGCGCAAGGGTTTAGAATTCTAGCAGAGAATTTACCCATGTGAAATACACCACATTCAGGACTATTTGCTATGGGAATATGAAGGCAATAATAACAGATACTCTTCGTGGGATGTGCAGGGCCAGTTACAAAGCACTTCACACAGGACTGAGCCTTCATGACAGCTCTGCAGACAGTCAGTGCAAGTATGGTCTGCAATAACATCAGAAAATAATAAGAACTCCCATTTCCCTAAAGCTTTAAGAAGTCGAAGAACTTTCCTCACTCACAAGAAGTCAAGTCAAACCAAAAGGCATTTATTAAGTACCCACTATGTGCCAGGCATTTACTAAGTGCTGGACATAGGAAGAAAAGCAAAAACCACAGTCCCTGTCCTCAAAGAGCTACCAGTCTAACGAGGGAGCCAACATGCCAACTTCTCCATATGAACAAGCTACAGAAAGGACAGATTGAGGACAGGCTCGAAGGGAAGGCTCCAGAACTGAGAGGGGTCGGAAGAGGCTTCCTGTGGAAGGCAGGGTCTTAGCTGAGCCTCTGAAGAAACCAAGGAAGCTGGGAGGCAAAGTGGAGCAGGGAGGGCATTCCATGCAAGGGGGACAGCCAGAAAAAAGGCCCAGAGCCAAGAAAGGGAGCCTCTGGTACAAGTGGCCCACTGCCCATGCTCTGTACAATCGCTATGCTTGGCTCCCTGAAAATGACCTTCCTGTAACTTTGGCAGGCAGGCGGGGCTGGCCTGGCCTGAACGCCATCATAAAACCCCCAGTTTCCACAAAGAAATCCACACAATTCAATGAAGGCTTTTCTGTCCACCTATCCATGGCCACTTGCAGATGTCCTCTACAGAGGGACTTTCGATTGCATTCTTGGAAGCTAGGCGTCTTCATTTTCAGCCGCATTCCTCAAGTTCAAACACATGAACTGGCTGTCAGCTTTGACGATGACTACCATTTGGTGAAGTGATTCCCCCACAGTCACAAAGATTTTCTGTTGGGTTTTGACCACTGACCTTGTAGTCTGAGAACCCTCTTCTGGTGAGGGTGTTTGCCTTTCTATGTAGGGCAATGAGCCCTGGGCTTCCATTAGGACACTATGCCAATCTGAGATGGTCCATTTTCTGATTACAGAGCTGTCCATGAAGACTGGTGCTGCCATGGGTTCACTACTTTAGAAGCATTCCCCCCAGTCATTTTGACTCCAGGTGGCCAGCAAGTCTCAGAACATTCAACCCAGCCTTCTCCCAGATGGTGGGCAGAGACTAAAGTGTAAATACTCCCTTCCATCAGTGGCTCACTGGGGGCCTCAATATGACTGCAGTAATTCCAGTCTTCAGGCTCTGCCTTCCATTGATACACTAAGAATTCAAATTTATCAAGCCCAAATGACACTTTGGTACCATTGTGGAGAGGTTCCATCAGTGAAGGAGGTTTTAAAGAGATGTTCAGGTGGAGCCTGCGGTGGGGGGCTTGCTATCATCCCAATCCGTTAAGTGGCTGAGAAGGTTTCATTATTTATTGTGGTGGTTCCTGTCACCAGTGGATGTGCCCAGGCACAGATCAGATCGCTTCCCATTCTCCACCAGGGAGCAGAGGTCTTGACATACAGTAAGACAAGAAGATCCATCTCCGAGGCTGAGCTCTGTCTTTCTAGTGTTGGCCAGGTCACCTGAGGCAGGGTAGGGAATGATCGGTATGGAAACAAATATCACTTCTGCCACTTATCCCGGGTGACCTTGGATAAGTCCCTTCCCCTCTCAGGGACTGGCTTCTAGGTCTATAACATGAGAGGGCTGGACTCAATGGACTCAAAATTCCCATCTTACTCAGGCCAATAGTCCTGGAAAACGATGCTGGCTGATGGTGGAAGGGTAGTGCTTCTCTAATCAGTGCTCACAGCAGGTCCACGGGAAAGGAGGAGACATGGGGCCATGGAAAAAGCGGGGACTCAGGGTGACCTGAGCTACAATCTCAGCTCTACCACTCACTACCTGTGGACCCTCAAGAAATTCAGTCACTTTTCTGGGCCTCAATTTCTTCATGGGAAAAACGGGAGGAATAACTCTGGGTTGTGTTAAAGAAAGAGTTTTATGAACTCTGAGTGAGAGTGACTCATAATATACTCAACCTAAGTAACTTCCCTATCGAAATAACGGCTACATCATTTATAATAATATTTATGCAACCATCGGAGGACACTGGCCGGGCATCTTCCCGTCTAAAAGCAAGGCTTAGTTGCCTTCAGAAAAAATCCAATTGCTACCAACTTGGAATTAATTAGGGGAAAAGATCCATCCCGGCATCTTACGGTAAGTAGGTCAGACAACATCAATAGCAAGGGCCTGATGTGAAATGTTTTCTTCATCGTCTCCGTGCTCTCAAAGACCTTTAAAGTAGCTAGATGCTGCCTCAGACTAATGAACTGCAAATGTGGAGAACAAAGCTCTGGATCAGACATCGCTACCAGGAGGTCACAGGAACCGCAGAGATGACCTGACGGGGTGACACCATGGGGGTGTGCCGGCTGCTGGCCATGGGTCTGGCTCCAGTGGAGCACAGCAGGCCCAGCCCAGCGTCCTGTCACCCATTGGGCCCCAGCCGCATCAGGGGCTCTGCAGGACGAACGTTACACCAGAACAGTGGAGGCTATGGAGCACTTTCTGCTCATCCATTACCCCAGTGAGCCTCCCCCTCTGCCCACCTGGGAGGAGATACTGCAGGCATTCTTTCAGACAAGGAAGCTGGGGGCCAGGACAGAAGCCTCCCTCAATCCTCTTAATATCCCACAGCAGATGTCAAGGGCGGGAGTGGACGTCTGGGGAGAAGAGCATCTTCCATGAGAAGAATTTAGAGGCTCCTCCCCAACACATCCCTAGGATCATATCAAACCCCAGACAAAGGCCATGATCCTGAAGTCCTGGCTCTGGCACTCAAGGCCCTCTCCAAACCGCCTCCATCCCAAAGGCCCCTCCTCAGCTGACACTACTCTTCTCGTCGTCTAAGATCTGGTGAAACACGGCTGCCTTGCGGAACCCCACGTCCACAGCCCTGCTCAGGGCAGACTTCTAAGTGACGGTGCCAGGTGACGTAGCCACCCGAAGCAACCTTCCCCCCAAAACAGCAGTTGCATTATTTATGATGTATTCACCCACCCAAGGACACTGATAAACGGCATCTTCCTGCCTAAAACCTTCAAAAAATTACAAGCCAAGCCTCTGTGGGAGCCCCGTCCTCCAGGGACCCACAGAGCTGTCGTCTCCTCCCTCCCTGCCCGGTCTTCTCTTTCCTCAGCCTCTGCCGTCTGTACAGGAGACAAAAGCGACCTCTTTCTCTCCTCAGAATTCTCGGAGTTCACTGCCTGGCCCCCTTCTTGCACCTTCCATTCAGCTCTGACTTACAGTCACTTGTGTATGTTAACGTGGGTTAGTCAAGTAAATAAATCAAATTCCCACCACTCCACTTAAAGCACGACCCCCGAGGCCGATGCTCACATCGGGGAAACATCCCACGGTGGCTGTCTGTCCTGTGTTTCTGAAGGGGACCAATGGCATCACAGGGGACGTCTTCACTTGTGTGTGAACTGGATGGAAGTGAGGCAGAGCTGCACAAAGCCATCAGCCTCGCTTTCTCCTCCAGAGTCACTGAAGTGCCAGGGGTCATTCACGTCTGCCAAAGGAAAGACGTGAAGCTATCAACAGCCATACGGAAAAAATGCCCTAAAACACTAATAATTAGGAAAACCCAAATAGATAGCACCTCAGACCGTCAGATGGGCAAAGCAGGGAAAGAGCTGCACTACTGGTGGAGCTGTGAACTGGCCCAACACTCTAGAAAGCAATTTGGAGCCACGCCCCAAAAGCCACATCCTCTGAGCCAACGATTCCACTGCTGGCTGGGCCCGCTGACCCAGAGAGACCAAAGAAAAAGGGGAAGGAAGCACACGCACAAAACACGGAGGGCGGTTCTCTCTTGTGGTGGCAAACTACAGAGGCACCCGTCAATCACGGAACGACCCAACAGGCCCCAGCGCACGATGCTGTACAAGACCCCGGCCCCCGGAGCAGCGATGACCGGGACAACTTCACAGAAATCTGGTAAGACGAGGAAATTGACGCAAAACGAAGTCCGCAAAACCAGCAGAACAATGTGCACAATAACAACAGTACCCGAAAGGTTCAGGAACTCCGATCAACACAGCGACCAAGCAGGATTCCAGCAGCCTCAGCACGAAACGCGCTCATCACCTCCCGACAGAGAGGGACGCACGCCGCGGTCAACTGACACGGACAGCGCAGAACAACGCCAAAAGGCTTTGTCTGAGCATCGAAACATGCTTCTACAGGTGCCGTTCCCTGCCTCCTCGGTGGGGGGAGGGGTGGTAGGAGGTAGCAACAAAGCGGAAGGAGAGCCTGGCCACGCACACCCTTGAAGAATTAACGTCATTATAAACGAAAGGCGCGCCAGGGAAGAGGGAACTGTTAAAAGGATCAACATCTTAAGAGAAGAGGTACAAGACCCAACCTTAGTAACAAACTCTCCAAAATTAAAATGCACCAAATGGAAATTAATGACTCTAGGAGACAACTAGGGTAGGACGCAAAATCCAATAATATATCACATTTCACACAGAGTTAAAACAAAAGGTTAGAGCAAAATCTATCACATCTCAGCTGAATAGAAAAGGCATGGCCAGCAACTAAGATTTCAGACGAGGTAACAGCAAAAACAAATAAATTTAAGGAAAAGAAATAAAGGGGTAGCATTCACGATTGCAAATGGGGAAACGACAAAAATAGACTCCATTGAAAGAGTTAAAGAGGGAAACAACATTTAGCTGAAAATAATATAGACGATGACTTGACTTCAGTATTTAATGTATATGCACCCAATGGCACAATTTCTAAATAATTAAAAGAAAACTAAATTAATTACAAGGAGAAACAAACAATAAAATTATAAAAATTGGGGAACTCAATTTATTCCTCTTAGCCCTAGATAAATTTAATTTAAAAAAAAAAAACAAGAAGTAAGCTAAAGACCTGAACTGAAGTTTAGAAAAATTAGATATGGTCAATCTCTAGTGATTATTTAACGGAGAGAGAAAAGAACATACATATTTATCAGCTGTACATGGAAATTTTCTACAAAGATTGATCATGTCTCAGAACCCTGAAGACCTCACAAACAAATGCAAAAAAAAAAGCAGCAATATTATACACACACTTTACTGATCACAGGGCAAGAAAAATATATTAAAATTCCACTGAGTATTTAAAATAAATTAATAGCAGCTGCTCTTTATATAGCACTTACCATGAGGCAGAAGCTGTGCTAAGTGCCTCACTATTATTACCTCATTTGATCCTTAAAGCAACTCTGAGAGGTAAGTGCTATTATTATCCCCATTTTTACAGATGAAAGGGGAGCAGAAGTAAAGTGACTTGTCCAGGGTCACCCTGCAAGGAAGTGTCTGAGTCCATATCTGAACTCAGGTATTCCTGACTCCAGACCCAGAGCTCCACTGTGCCATCTAGCTACCATGAAAAAAATCAAAGAAAACTAAATAACCTAATCCTGAAGCACTGCTGGATTAAAGAATAAACTGCTGGGATACTACAGATAATTTCATAATGACAATGAAGAGATCACGTTCAAAAACTTTGGGGATACAAACAAAGCAGTCCTTAGGGGAAATGTCCCATTTCTACACATGAGAAAGAAAGAGACAGAGACAGAGAGACAGACAGACAGACAGAGAATATATTTAATTAGTTGGGAATGCAACTAAAAATACTAACAATTTTTTTTAAATAAAAAGCAAACAGTGAAAAAAAGTAATCTAGAAAATTGAAGGAAAAATTAACAAAATTGAAAACAAAAAAAAATTTGTTGATAAACAAAAGTAAAAAATTGGGGGGGAGAGAAACTAAAAAAAAAATAAACTTAACTAATTTTATTAAAAAGAAAAAGAAAAACCAAATTACCAGTATCAAAAATGAAAACAAGTACAGTTATTCCTTTCACATTGCCACTTTCCACATTACAATTTTGATATATCACAGGGAGGCATAAGAAATTAAATGGGAATTTTGGAGGTTTTGTAAAAGCCACAGACACATGAAGACCAGCAGATGACACAGAGCCTATGACCAAACACTTAACCCAAATTTTACAATAAGTTACTGTAAACACCCCATAAAAGAAAAAAGAAAACATTCAGACTTCTCTGGTACAAAGGGAGGGTCAAAAGATTTTACACAGATTTTCTATATCGCAAGGGGCATCATAACCCCATGATGTGGAAGAGATGATTATATTCACAAGTGAGGAAGAAATAAAGGATATTATTGGAAACTATTTTGCACAACTATACGCCAACAAAACCAATAATTTAAATAAAATAAATTAATATATTTTAAATACTCAAGTTAATAGAAATACAGAATTTAAACAACTTGATATCACAGGAAGAAACTGAACAAGTCATATACAAACATCCAAAAGGTAGGAAAACTCAGAACCAGACAGACTCTGTACTGAATTTTATCAAATATTAATTCCAATAATAAATAAGTTGTTGGCAAAAATAATAAAAGAGATCCTACCAAATCCTTCTATGACAGATGTGATCTTGACACATAAACCAAGGAGAACTGAAACAAAAAAAGTACAGAACAATATTTCCTAAAGAACAAAGATGAAAATACTTAAATAAAATATTAGCAAAGAGGCAAAAAGAGTCTATCATTAAGATTACACACTATGACCAAGTTAAATATATACAGGAATTCAGGGTAGGTTCAATATTTGGAAAAGTATAAAATTAACCGCATTGAGAAAAGCAACAAAATTCATGTGATTTTTTTTAAATCAATAGGTGTAAAATATAACATTTCTTTTTAAAAATACTAGAAAACATAGGAATGAATAAATGTACCTTTCCCAAAAAATGATAAATTGTACATATTGAAATAAAACATTATTTGTAATGGAGAGATGACCTAGAATCCTTTCCACCAAATTCACAGTGGAATAAGGATGTCCACTGTCACCTCTTCTTTTTGACACTGGACTAGAATTGCTGACTAGCAATAAGACCAGAGTAAGAAACGGCGAGTATAATCATTAGAAGAAACAAAATAATCATTTTTGCAGATGATATGATTGTGTACTTAGAAAACCTTAAAGAGTCAACTAAATTAATGAAATAATTAATAATTTTGGCAAACTTGAAGAATACAAAATAAATGCACACAAATCATCAGCATTTCTATATGATGCCAATAAAAACTCAGGAGGAAAGGCTAGGAGAAATTCCACTTTAAATTAATACAGAACACGTAAAATACTTAGGCAGCTATGGTCTAGGATACAAAAATTACATAACTATAACTATGAACAACTATTTACAAAAACAAAAACAGACTTACATAATTGGAAAAATATCAATTGCCCATGGGTAGGGTGAGCCAACGTGATAAAATACCAAAGTACCAAGGGATTAATCAATGGAATAGAAAAAACGGAGGCACTAGACCTAGAGTCAAGAAGAGCTGAGTTCAAATGCAGGCTCAGATACTTACCATCCTGTGTGACTGTGGGCAACTTCTGAGTGCCTCAATTTCTCCGTTTGTAAAACGAAGGGATAACAATAGCACCTACCTCCCAGGGATGGGCAGCTAGGTGGCACAGCAGATAGAGCACTAGGCTTGGAGTCAGGAAGATTCATATTCCTGAGTTCAAATCCAGCCTAAGACGCTTACTAGCTGTGAGATCCTGAGCAAATCATTTAACCGTTTGCCTCAGTTTCCTCATCTGTAAAAATGAGCTGTAGAAGGAAAACAGAAAACCATTCCAGTATCTTTGCCAAGAAAATCCCAAAACCACAAAGGCCTGTTTTCCCATGGCCCCTCCGATGCTTTTGGTCGTCTTTGCCGCTGAGCTGTGTCTGAGGTACGATCTCTCAGAGCTGCTTTAATCTGCATTTCTCTATTGAAAACGACTGAACGACAAATAACACAGCGCCCAGCACATGGTAGGCACCAAATAAATGTTGCCATGGAGGAAAAAAAAATCCAGGAAATCAAGAGAAATAAGAAGAAGAAACAGGGACCAACAGGGCCTAGAAGCAGCAGACCTCACACTGTACTACAAAGCAGTAACTATTCCAATCCATCTAATGCCCAAGCAATCAGTAAACACACACTCGGGCTGCTGAGACGACGACTCAGTACCTGAAAAAACGGCTGGGAAATTGGTGCGAGAGAGAAGAAAGCAGATGTAGCCTGACACCTCGCACTCCACACCACAAGGAGCTCCAAATGGGCATGTGACCACCTGAAGCACCAGCTGCTGCTTCACACCTACAGACACAACTAGGGACATAGGGGAAATGGCCTCTCAGCACCACGGACAGGAGAACAGCTCACAGCCAGACAACAGCAGAGAGGACAGCAGAAGATGAAACTCATAATTCTGACTACATAAAACTTAAAAGGTTTTGCACAAATAAATCAAATACAATGATTAAAAGGAAAAGGAGAGCGGGAAATTATTTCAGCAGAATTCTCTGATAAACGTCTCATTTCCAACACAAATAAGGAAATGATTCAAATTTATAAGAAAAAAGAGTCATTTCCCAATTGATAAATAGTCTCAGGATATGAAAAGGCAGCTCTCAAGGGAAGAAACCCAGGCAATGTACAGCAGCATGCAAAAATACCGCAGATCACTATTAATTAGCGAAATGCAAATTAAAGCAGCTCTGAGAGGTCGCACCTCAAACCCAGCTCAGCAGCAAAGGTGACCAAAAACGTCAGAGGGGCCGTGGGAAAACAGGCACAGGGGACGCACTGCTGGTGGCCCTGGAGATGGGCACAACCATTCTGGAAAGAAATGCGGAATGGCACACGGAAGGTGACGATGCAGTTCACGCCCTATGGCCCAAACTATGGATAGGCTGGCAACCAAAAGAGATCAAAGAAAGAAGAAAAGGTCCAATATTTAGAAAAATGTTTACAGCGGCTCTTTTTGTGGAGGTGAAACCAGGAAACTAAGGGGACACCTCTCACCTGGGGAACGGCTCCATACGTCATGGTGCCTGAGTGTGACAGAAAGCTCCTCTGATGAAGAAATGAGGGAACAGGTGACTTAAAAGGACCCTTGGCGACCTCTGCGACCTGACGCCGAGGGGAGAAAGCAGCGCAACCAGAGCGCTTTACGCGATGACATCACTGCTTTTAAAACAAACAGTTGCAACGACTCTCATAAACTGGGGAACGATGAAATGAACGGAACAGGAGAAGCCAGTACGGAACCACCACAGCAGTGCCCCGTGGGAGCCTGGGATTCTGGCCCCACCACAGAGCCGTGGATGGATGGATGGACAGACTTCTCTGCGGAAGGAGGCATGCCGTACTCATTTGTAAATAAGAGATTTGTCTTTTTCCCCCCAGTGGGGGAGGAGACGAGAGCCAGAGAAACAGACTTCCTTTTTTGTTGTTTTTTTTAAATACCAGGCAAGGGAGGGGAATGACCAAAGTGAAATGCTGCAGACACTTTCAGAGAAGGTCACTATCATACCGGACTTACTTTATGACAAGGGATCTTGCAGGAAGCCCCTGTCATCTACCAGGCTGGTCATCATAAAAACAAAGACATCAAGGAAACTTTCTGAAAAGGAGGAAGATCAAGCAATACGTGAGGGCAGAGGGAGGCAGGCAGGAAGGGGGCCAGGCCCATCGCTGAGCCTCTGGATAAGCACCTGACAGTTAGCTCACGTGTTTTACCTCCATGTTCAGCTCCAGCTTCCCACTCCTAGGTGACCAATTAAGCCTAATCAAGGCCAGGTAACCACTAGCCAGGAGGCTATAAAGGGGAT